TGGCCGAGAGCCAGTGTCCTGACTGCTGTGTCTGTGTTTCAGGTGTCCAGTGTGAGGAGAAGCTGGTGGAGTCTGGGGGAGACTTGGTGCAGCCTGGGGGGTCTCTCAGACTCTCCTGTGCAGCCTCCGGATTTGATTTCAGCAGCTACTGGATGAGCTGGGTCCGCCAGGCCCCAGGGAAGGAGCTACACTGGGTTGGAGAAATTAATGCTAATGGTGGTACTACAAACTACGCGGACTCCGTGAAGGGCCGATTCACCATCTCCAGAGACAACGGCAAGAACTCGCTGTATCTGCAGATGAACAGCCTGAAGCCCGAGGACACGGCCGTGTATTACTGTGCGAGAGGCACAGTGAGGGGAGCAGGTGTGAGCCCAGACACAAACCCTGCAGGGACAGGAGGAGGCTGGGCGGGTCCACTGGGGCGTGGTCAGGACAAGGGGCCCAGGAAGCAGGAGGCCCACGAGGCTCAGAGCACAGAGCATAGCCAGGAGCAGGTGGAGCAGGGGTCTCCAGCTGGGGCTCCCTCTGCAAGGTCTTAACTTCCCAGGTCACCACATCTCCTCAGGTTACCCACATTCCTAGGGCGCCCCAAGGAGGAGATGACTCTGTCACAGTGAGACCTCCCCTGCACAGGACCCTTCACCAGTCCCAGGTGTCTGTGACGAAACTTCACACCAGAACACTCTGGGCTCCTCATCCCTGTTTCCAGGTCAGATCCCTCTGGCGTGGCACAGGTGACCCTGTCCACTCAGTGCTCCAAGATGGAAAATTACAGCAACCTTACCCACATCACACAGTAAGCACTGAAGAAATCAGGCAAAACCCTGGCAGGGACGAAGGGGGGATCCCCTGGAGGACCCATATTGTCTCATTATACTCTGAGAACCCCACACCACATTCTCTTCCACACATACAATAACACACCACCGAGGGAGCCCCTCGGTCCCCCTGTGTCACGGTCACTGCAGACTGGCCACCTGGAGAGATGCCGGAGCCTCCCTATGCAACCTCGTGCTCAGATGTGGGTGGTGCAGCCGGAAAAGCGGAGCCAGGCCCCCCAAAAGGTCCCTCAAGAAGCCCCCCGACAGGGCCCCGCACACTGGCCACGGCACACTGACCTGCTGTGCACAGAGATGTCCTGTCTCCACCACTCAGGTGCCCAGGAGAGGACAGGTGTGTGGTGATGGGCTCACAGGGCCAGTCCTCTCCCTCCTGGTCCTCACCTGGGCCAGGGTCCTGAGGGGTCACCTGGCAGCACGGTGTTAGGGAGGGACACTGGGCAGGAAGGTGCTTTGGCAGGTGAGGGGGAGGAGGGTGTGAAAGGAGCCCCTGGGCTGAGATCCCTCCTCTTTCCCCCCTGTACCCAGCAAGCTGGGGTCTCCCCAGGCGCCCTGTGTGGGGGCTCAGCTCCCTCTCCCTGGCCTCTGCTTGGGGAAGAGATGGACAGGCCGTGGATATGACATGAGTGACCTGGAGACTTGGGGAGGGTCTGACGGTCACAGGGAGCACAGAGAGGCCAGAACAGAGTATTGGTCCCCGAGTGTCAATATGATATTTGAAAGATTGTTCTGAGAACATGGACAAATCTAAGGTGTAAGAAAAAATTAAAGCAAAAATCTGGTATAAAACGTCTGAGACAGGGGCCGCCCTGGGGCGCCAGGGGTTTAGCCGCAGACAGTGAGGCTGCCCCAGCCGCTGGGGCCCGATCCCTGCCGGGAGTGACCCCCTGGGCGCAGCAGACCGCCGCCCCCACGGCCCCCTCAGCAGTGAGCTCCAGTTGATGGCCTGTCTGCTCCCCGCTCTGTCCTGGGGAGTCCTCGCATCCTAACAACTCCTGCCTATACCCTAGTTTTGTGTGCATAATTTTAAAAAAATTAA